CTTCTTCTGAACCAATCTAGGAAGGGATGCTTCAAAAACAGAGGCCCAGTTCTTCTGATGAGGAAACCAAGGTCCTCATTCCACAGCTGTCAGGAGAAGAGATATTGGAGTCGGTTTGTCCCCCCGAAGTCCAGTTAGGTGCCCTTGCTGTGGAAGAAGGGCAAGAGACAAGCGATCTGTCAGAAGAAGTTCCAGATAAGAAGTTTGATTTATACTTAAGATAGACGTGCGATGGGCAAGGAGATGATCCACCAGTGATAGCTCAGGGAAGGGAAGCGGGAGACATCAAAGGCATGGAAGGAGAAAACTTCAGCAATAACTTTCAGCTTCATTTCTGCGACGAAAGAGCACTTTCACGAGTAGTCCTCAATTTATGGCCAGAATTGAGCCCAAGTATCTATTTTCTAAGGGAGACAATTGTTAAGTGCTGGTAGTACATCAGTATTGCAGGTTAACTCATTGCTCACTGCCAGGAGTTCGATCCTGGCCGGGTCAAGGTTGACTCAGACTTCCATCCTTCCGAGGTGGGTAAAATGAGGACCCAGATTGTTGGGGGCAAGAGGCTGACTCTGTAAACCGCTTAGAGAGAGCTGTAAAAGCACTGTGAAGCAGTATATACAGTAAGTCTAAGTGCTATTGCTCTTCCTTCCTTCCTTCCTTCCTTCCTTCCTTCCTTCCTTCCTTCCTTCCTTCCTTTCCTTCTTTCCTCCCTCCCTCCTTCCCTCCCTTCTTTCCTCCTTCCCTCCCTCCTTCCTTCCCTCCTTTTCTTTCCTATTCTTCAACTGTCATAAATATAAACCAGTTGCCAAAGATCTGGATTTTGATCATGTGGCCATGGGGATGCTGGTCGTAAGTGTGAAACATGTTCACCAGTCATTTTTTTCAGTACCATGGTTAACTTTGAACAGTCACTAAAGGAAGAGTTGTAAGTCAAGGACTACCTATATTTGCCTTCTGCTGAAAACCACCTCTTTCCAAAGGCCCCCAAATAACATTTTGCCAAAAAACGCATCTCTCTCTCTCTCTTTCTCCCAGCTTTTGCTTTCCCTGTTTCTGTTTCTCTGCCTGAAACCCACAAGATTTCTCCACTTAGTATGCGAGCAGGACAACAACTGCTGCTTGCATATTTTTGACCACCGAGAATGGTTAGTGGGGAGGATGGATTCATGGAAGGAGACGGAGAAGAAGTTCTCCGTCTTGCTTTTCTCTTCTGATGAGGGGTCATTAAATGTTTTATGGGCACGTTGAACCGAGAGGAGGCTTAATATACTGGATTTTTATGGCATTCGCCGGTGCTAAAAATTGGCAGGCTGAGGCTCTGTTGTTATTTGTTGTTTGACACCGTGTTTCAGCTGCAAGACTCTGCATGGTTGGGGGCTGCCCCACAGAAGAAGGGGGTCAAGCTATTCTCCAAAGCACCTGAAGGCAGGACAAGAAGAAATGGATGGAAACTAATCAAGGAGAGAAGCAGCCTAGAACTAAGAAGAAAGTTCCTGACAGTGAGAACAATTAAACAGTGGAACGACTTGCCTCCAGAAGTTGTAAATGCTCCAACACTGGAAGTTTTTAAGACGAGATTGAAAAACCATTTGTCTGAAATGGTATAGGATTTCCTGCCTGAGCCGAGGGTTGGACTAGAAGACCTCCAAGGTCCCTTCCAACTCTGTTATTCTGCTATTCTTTTTTCCTTCCTTCCTTCCTTCCTCCCTTTTTTCTCTTTCTTTCTTTCCTTCCTTTCTTTTTCCTTCCTTCCTTCTTTCCTTCCTTCCTTTTTTCCTTTCCTTCCTTCCTCCCTCCCTTCTTTCTCTTTCTTTCCTTCCTTCCTTTCTCTTTCCTTCCTTCCTCCCTTCTTTCTTTCTTTCCTTCCTTCCTTCCTTTCTTTCCTTCCTTCCTTCTTTCCTTCCTCCCTTCTTTCTCTTTCTTTCCTTCCTTTCTTTCCTTCCTTCCTTCCTCCCTTCTTTCTCTTTCCTTCCTTCCTTATTTCCTTCCTTCCTTCCTCCCTTCTTTCTCTTTATTTCCTTCCTTCCTTTCTCTTTCCTTCCTTCCTTCCTTCCTTCTCTTTCTATCCTTCCTTCCTTTCTCTTTCCTTCCTTCTTTCCTTCCTCCCTTTTCTTTCTTTTCTTCCTTCCTTCCTTCTTTCCTTCCTTCCTTCTTTCTCTTTCCTTCCTTCCTTCTTTCTCTTTCCTTCCTTCCTTCCTTCTTTCTCTTTCCTTTCTTCCTTCCTTCCTTCCTTCCTTCCCCATCACTGGAGGTTTTCAAGAAAAAATTGGACAGCCACCTGTCTGAAATGGAATAAGGTTTCCTGCTTGAGCAAGAATGGGGAATAGGGTTTCCTGCTTATCCTTCCTTCCTTCCTTCCTTCTTCCTCCTTCCTTCCTTCCTTCCTTCCTCCTCCCTCCCTCCCTCCCTCCCTCCCTCCCCCTCCCCCCAATCACTGGAGGTTTTAAGAAGAGATTGGGCAGCCATTTGTTTGAAATGGAATAGGGTTTCCTGCTTGAGCAGGGGGTTGGACTAGAGGACCTCCAAGGGCCCTTCCAACTCTGTTATTCTGCTATTCTTTTTTCTTCCTTCCTTCCTTCCTTTTCTTCTTTTCTTCCTTCCTTCCTTCCTTCCTCCCTTCTTTCTTTCCTTCCTTCTTTCTTTCCTTCCTTCCTTCTTTCTTTCCTTCCTTCTTTCTCTTTCCTTCCTTCCTTCCTTCCTTCTTTCTCTTTCCTTCCTTCCTTCCCCCCCCCAATCACTGGAGGTTTTTAAGAAGAAATTGGGCAGCTATTTGTTTGAAATGGAATAGGGTTTCCTACTTGAGCAGGGGGTTGGACTAGAGGACCTCCAAGGTCCCTCCCAACCCTGTTATTCTGTTATTCAGGTTGGAGAGGGGCACAGAACTACAAAAAGGAATAACTGGGGGGGAATCCACCCTGCTTCAGATGATCTTCGGCTCCGTTTCCTCTGTTTCCTCAAACCAACCCACCAGGCGGCCGAGCAGAAATCCGATAGCGTGTGCCTGATTGCCGAAGCTCCTCTGGAGACTTAATTTGGAAGCATTAGCACCGGAGGCAAAAGGGGAATAGAGAGGAAAATTGAAAGTGCCTGGGCTGCATGCAAAATCCACTCGTGGAAAGAACCGATTCTCACCAAGCGGGAATAAAAATGCATCGTTGTTCTAACCGTGGGAGAGATTGGAGGTCTTTTCATAAAAAGTGCCCCTCTATTCATCAACATTTAAAATGTTCAATAAATGCTAAAATCTATCGACTGGCACACATTAGCTGCCCACTGCCTGGTTTTAAAGTGCTGGATGAAAAATAGGCTGCTTACAAAAACATGGAGGTGGAGGGGGAGACGGAGAACAGCCGCCCGGAGTAGAATCCGCTAATGAGAAATTTGTGGCAAACGGAATTCACACAACAAACGGAATCCACAACAATGGAATTGTTGGAGGGGGCATCGTTTTCCCTCCGTTTTCTATTCAGCTCCATCCAGGAGCTCCATTTGTGGCGGCTCGCAGGAGCCTCAGATAAAAAGTTACAACTGCAAATATAATAATCATCATAATCATAAAAAGGATCCTTTCATTTTATTTTTATTTTTCCTGATAAGAATCAGTTCAAAAGAAAATGGACATTGGGCGGAACAGGGCTCTGTAGACAGAAAGGCCGAATGAAAAATGGACAGCAAGCTAAGCCCAGTCGAACCGGCTCTGAATTCTAAAGCAAATGGGAATAAAAGAAATGCCTTTTTCAGCATACTGCTAGTTAGACCATAATGGATTCACCCTCAAAATTTTCAGCATCTCTCTCTCTCTCTTTTTCTTTCATTCTCTCTTTCTTTCTCTTTTTCCCCCTCTCTCTTCCTGTGTCTCCTGTGAAGACATCCAAGCATAGAACCTTTTTCTCCCTCCCTCTCTTTCTCTCCCTCTTTCTCTCTCTCTCCCTCCACTCTTTCCCACTCCCTCTCTTTCCCTCTCTCCCTCCTCTCTCTCTCCGTGTCTCTCCTTCTCTCTCTCTCTCCATCTTTCTCCTTCTTCTCTCTCTCTCTCTTTCATCTCTTCTTCTCTCTCTTTCCCCCTCTCTCTTCCTGTCTCCTGTGAAGACATCCAAGCATAGAACCTTTTTCTCCCTCCCTCTCTTCTCTCCCTCTTTCTCTCTCTCCCTCCACTCTTTCCCACTCCCTCTTTCCCTCTCTCCCTCCTTCTCTCTCTCTCCGTGTCTCTCCTTCTCTCTCTCTCTCCATCTTTCTCCTTCTCTTTCTCTCTCTCTCCTTCTCTCTCTCTCTTTCATTCTCTTTCTCTCTTTCCCCCCTCTCTTCCTGTATCTCCTGTGAAGACATCCAAGCATAGAACCTTTTTCTCCCTCCCTCTCTTTCTCTCCCTCTTTCTCTCTCTCTCCCTCCACTCTTTCCCACTCCCTCTTTCCCTCTCTCCCTCCTTCTCTCTCTCTCCGTGTCTCTCCTTTTCCTCTCTCTCTCTCTCCATCTTTCTCCTTCTCTCTCTCTCTCTCTCTTTCATTCTCTTTCTCTCTTTCCCCCCCTCTCTTCCTGTGTCTCCTGTGAAGACATCCAAGCATAGAACTTTTTTCTCCCTCCCTTTCTTTCTCTCCCTCTTTCTCTCTCTCCCTCCACTCTTTCCCACTCCCTCTCTTTCCCTCTCTCCCTCCTTCTCTCTCTCCTATCTCTCTCTCTCTCCATCTTTCTCCTTCTCTTTCTCTCTCTCTCTTTCTCTCCTCTCTCTTTCCTTCTCTTTCTCTTTCTCTCTCTTTCTCTCCTTCTCTCTCTCTCTCCTTCTCTTTCTCTCTCTCTCTCTCCTTCTCTCTTTCTCTTGTTCTCTCTCTCATTCTGTTTTATTGTTCTGGGTTTTTCCCCTCCTTCCCCAGTAACAAACTGCTGTATTAAACTATTTCTCTTTTTTACTGTACTCTTTTATCGTAAAGGCTGATCAAAGACCGCCATAAAGATATTTGATTAGAATTGAACAGGCCTTGTTAAATGCCTTCAGAATCAGGCTCCAAGATATGGAGGATTAAAGTCCTACCAGGCACTGGGACTACTGATTCAACAGCCAGCACTGACAGCCAGTTTGGCCTAGTGGTTAAGGCTCCTGCCTAGAAAGTGAGAAAATATGAGTTCTAATCTCACCTTAGGCAT